GCCAGAAACAGATTTACTAGGTAAACCAGGCTTAGTGGCAAGACAGGTTAAGAGGGAGAGAAAAGAAGAAACTTGCCTTGCAAAGGTGGCTTTGTTATGTAGATGAAGCCTCCTTCAGAATAGATAGTAAACATTTCTTTTCAGATTTTTAAAAGTGTCAGACTCTCAATCTCTCTCAGATTGGGGAAAGGCCCAGAAAGGGGAGGGGGCATGGCTTTGCAAGGCCACTTCTGTTTGCTACCCAAGTAGCAGCTGTTTCAAAATATATCAAAGAAATATTTTAATTGCCTTAAGTGCCATATGGCCCTCTCCAGAGGCAGTTCACTGAATGACTGTTTGCTTCTTCGAGGCATGTTTTTGTTTGTTTGTTCATTTATTTATTTAACTTTTAAGTTCAGTGTTACAAGTGCAGGTTTGTTATATAGGTAAACTTGTATCACGAGGATTTGTTATACAGATTATTTTATCACCCAGGTATTAAACCTAGTACCAATTAGTTATTTTTCCTGATCGTCTTCCTCCTCTCACCCTCCACCCTCTGAAAAGTCCTATTGTGTGTTGTTCCCCTCTATGTGTTCATGTGTTCTCATCATTCAGCTCCCACTTATAAATGAGAACATGCAGTATTTGGTAAGGATAATGGCCTCCAGCTCCCTCCATATCTCTGCAAAGGACATGATCTCATTCTTTTTTATGGCTGCATAGTATTTCATGGTGTATGTGTACCATGTCTTCTTTATCTGGTCTATTATTGACTGGCATTTAGGTTGATGCCATGTCTTTACTATTGTGGATAGTGCTGCAATAAACATTCATGTACATGTGTCTTTATAATAGAATGATTCCTATTCCTTTGGGTATATAGTCAGTAATGAGATTGCTGGATTGAATACTATTTCTGTGTTTAGGTCTTTGAAGAATTGCCACACTGTCTTCCACAATGACTGAACTAATTTAGACTCTCACCAACAGCGTGTAAGTGTTCTCTTTTCTCCACAACCTTGCCAGTGTCTGTTATTTTTTTGACTTTTAATAGTAGCCATTCTGACTAGTGCAAAATGGTATCTCATTGTAGTTTTGATTTGCATTTCTTGAATCATCAGTAATATTGAGCATTTTTTCATATAATTGTTGGCCTCATGTATGTGTTCTTATGACAAGAGTCTGTTCATGTCCTTTGCCGACTTTTTAATGGGATTTTTTTCCTTGTAAATTTGTTTAAATTTGTTATAGATGCTGGATATTAGAACTTTGTCAGATGCATATTTGCAAACATTTTCTCCCCTATTCTGTAGGTTGTCTGTTTACTCTGTTGATAGTTTCTTTTGCTGTGCAGAAGCTCTTTAGTTTAATTAGATCCCATTTGTCAATTTTTGCTTTTGTTGTAATTGCTTTTAGAATCTTTGTCATAAAGTCTTTTCCCGTGCCTATATCCTGAATGGTATTAGGCTGTCTTTCAGGGTTTTTATAGTTTTGCATTTTACATTTAAGTCTTTAATCCATCTTGAGTTAATTTTTGTATATGGTGTGTGGAGGGGGTCCAGTTTCAATCTTCTGCAGCTGGCCAGCCAGTTATCCCAGCACTGTTTATTGAGTAGGAAATGTGTTCTCCATTGCTTGTTTTTGTTAGGTTTGTCAAAGATCAGTTAATTGTATGTGTGCAGTCTTATTTCAGGGTTCTCTATTCTGTTTTATTGGTCTATGTGTCTGTTTTGTGCCAGTATCATGCTATTTTGGTTACTGTAGCCCTGTAGTTTGAAGTCGGGTAGCGTGATGCCTCCAGCATTGTTCTTTTTCCTTGGGATTGCCTTGGCTATTTGGGCTCTTTTTTGGTTCCATATGAGTTTTAAAATAGTTTCTTTCTAGTTCTGTGAAGAAAGTCAATGGTATTTTAATAGGAATAACATTGAATCTATAAATTGCTTTGCACAGTATAGCCATTTTAACAATATTGATTCTTCCCATCCATGAGCATAGAATGTTTTAAAAAAATTTTTTATTATACTTTAAGTTCTAGGGTACATGTGCACAATGTGCAGGTTTGTTACATATGTATACATGTGCCATGTTGGAGTGTTGCCTCATTTGTAATTCAAAAAACAGAACTTTTCACTTTGTGAAGCTCACATTTTAAAGGGAAAATCACATTTCAGTCATGTTTCTCCAAGTCTCTATTTGAGACTTCCTAAATCTCCTGGGAAACTTAGCTGTTAATACCTAGTTACTTTTATAGATGGCCTCATCTATTGCACTTTCCCCAATTTAATCCTCAGAGGGTGACCTGAACATTTGGAAGGGTGACATAACTGTGGCCCCTTTGTTCAGGGGAACTTAGTTTGTTTTCTGTGTGTCTCTGTGCACAATGCACTTTGCAAATATTTGCTCTTGTCAATACTCTTCACACATTCATGAAAAGGCATACTTAAACAAAGGTACTTGTTCTCTGCTTCTTCGTCTTGGCAGGCCTTTAATGGTTCTATGCATGTGTTCTTCTGCACTAAGCAGCTCACAACTTTGTGGGTCAGGTTATTGGTAAGGACTAGCCTGAGTGACTTGTCTCTGGTCTACATGGCACCATCTGGGAGAGTTAAGGCTGGAAGATCCACTTCCACAGTGGCATCTTTACTTCGGTGCTGGTGCCTGGTGGTCCTTGTTGCCTACCTCTCTCCCTTCACATGTCCTTTCTCCTCCAAGGTTTCTCCACGTGACTTAGGTTTATCTACATGGCAGTATCTCTTCTTTTATTGCAGCTGACTTTCAAGAGTACCAAAAAAGTTAAAGGCTGTGCTCAGACCTTGCACAGTGTCACTTCTGCTATATTTTGTTAAAGCAATTACAGAGACCATTCAGATCTGAGGGGTTGGAGAATGGACTGCAATTTCTCATGGGAATGAGGCAAAGTTATGTTACAGAAGAATATCTGAAATGAGAAATACTGTTGCTTCCAATTTGAAAACTATAATCTCCCATAATCATGTAGGAACAGAGGAGTATATGAAAACAACAATTCACTTATTCAATACATTTTCTTTGCACATCTACTCTAATGCATACTTTACACAAATGACCAAGTAACACTATCTGCTTGTAAGATGCTGACTTTCTAGCAGAAGAGGCAAGAAAAGTGATTTATTGGTTAGTTTGTGCTGTGTAACAAAGTATTTCAAAACTTGATAGCTTAAAAACAAGTGTTCCTTTGGCTCATAATTCTGTGCATTAGCAGTTTAGTCTGGACTTTGCTGGAATGTTCTTCTGGTTTCAACTATACTCACCTATGAGTCAAGGGTCAGCTTTGGTGAGGTAGGTGGTTTTGCTGATCCTGGTTAGGCTCTTTCATTTGTTTTGGTGTTGACTACCTGAAGATTAGTCCCTTGGTAGGGAAATCTGGTCTGTCCTCCATGTGATCTCTTATTCACCAGGAAGACAGCCTTAGCTTGTTTTAACAGCAGATATGGAAGTCTAAGAGAGTAAGAGAAGTTGTGCATGCCGGCTGAGGCATAGGCTTGGAATTGGGGCAAAGTCACTTCTGCTGCATTCTATTGAGTAAAGGAAGGTATAAGACCAGCCTAGATTTAAGAGGTTGGGAAATAGACTCTATGCTTTGATAGGAGAACGTACAAAGTCTTGCTGCAAAGTAGAGATATAGAAGGACAATGATTTGTGGCCACTAATGCAATCCATCTATCAAAGGCACCAAGCAAGCAATGTCATTATAGTGTGGCAAATGTGGTGGGCTATGGGTACAGAGGAAGAATATGAACCTGGGACAGAGAGGAAGGGGAGTGGGGAGTAGCATGAAAAGAGGTCAAAGAAAGCTTCACTTAGGTGTGGATCCTGAGGATGGCTGGATTTCTGAGCTTGCCTGGAGAACAAAAGGGAATTGTTGCCTTTTACTGAAGTAGTCCTGCTTTGAAGTCTACTAAGTATTTAAAGATCTTTATGTTATTTTTGGCAGGGTGTCAGAGGATGCTCAGGCAAGCTTCATGGTCACTCTGATAGCCCAGCTAAGAAATCCAGGGCCGGAAGGGATCCTGGAGATCAATTCTATTCATCTTCCTATTGTGCAGATGTGAAGACTTTCCCAGAGATAGGTCTGCCCAAGTTTATTAGTTTGCTAGTGCTACCATAACAAAAGTACCACAGACCGAGTGGCTTAGACAACAGAAGCATATTTCTTCATAGTTCTGTAGATAAGAAGTCCAAAATCAAGGTGTCAGCAGAGTTGGTTTCTTCTGAGGCCCCTCTTCTTGGCTTGCAGATGGCTACCTTCTCCCTGTGTCTTCACATGGTCCCCCAGCTTATGTGTGTCTGTGTCCTATAAGGTTTTCTTACAAGGTTAAGAGTCATATTTGACCAAGGCCCACACTAATGGCCTTATTTTAAGTTAATTACCTCTTTAAATACTCTGTCTCCAAATGCAGTCACATTCTGAGGTACTGGGCATTAGGGCTTCAACTTATCAATGGGGGAGCAGGGCACAATTTAACCCGTAACACCACGGTCACATCATGTCAGCAGTGAGCCCAGAAGCTCATGCTTTTCCCTGTGAAATAGGTGCTATCTCAGGTTTGAGCTAAAAGTGCTTTCATTCAGCTTCCCAGATGACTGTTGTTCCCAATGCAGATGCTGGTTATCTAGTTGCAACCCTCGCCTTGTATTCTGAACATCTCCTTCCTTGGGGATGCTCCCAGTAGTCAATAAGAAGTTAGAGGAAATCCAACAGAGCCCCGGGGTAAAGGACAGCTGGTACACAAACAGACTTGTGAGTTGCTGGCACATGTGAGGGATATTATCTTTAAATTAGTTGGAGAAAATTAATATTGCTCACTTGCTGTGCTCACCCTTATTGTCTGCTCTGAGAATCAGCAGGGCCGGAGCCTCTGTTGATAATATTTTTTAATTAAAAGGAAAATAACTTCTTGTGATTAATCTGCTTCTTTGGGGACTTGATCCAGAATCTCATAAATCTAAAATAAAAGCATCTGCTCGTTCACCTGCAGACTCCCTCCCCCTCAGCCAGCTTAGAAGTCGGTGGAAGAGGAAGCTGGATGGAACAACATGAGCCCTGGTCAGGGCAGACCTAAGCCAGGAGATGAAGTGCCAGATTCAGAGAAAAGCTCAGTGGGATCCCAGATGGACCAGAATTCCTGGTAAGGACATCTTCTCCCATAGTGTTCAAGAGAGCAAGTGTTGGGACCAGAAAACCTTGGCTGTGAGTCTTGGGTCTGCCACTTGTCTGAGGCTCTTGGAGAATGTCTGAAACTCAGTTATTTTCCATCTGTGAAGTAGGGCTAGATGAATATTTACCTAAAAAGGAGTATTTGTGTAAAAGGATTCTGAGTTCTGGAGCCACACTGCCTGGTTTTTAATATGGAAGACTTTATTTTTTGACCTCGAGGTGGTTGTTTAATCATTCTGTGCTTCTGTTTCCTCTTCTGAGAAATAGGAATGATAAAAGGGCCTGTCTCATAGGGCTGTTGTGACTAAAAAAGCTTAAAAATGTCAAGTGCTGGGGCATGGCATAGTAAACACCCAAGTAAATGTTTGCTCTCACGAGCCCATTCTTAGCACACATGCACACAATGGTTTCTGTAATTGTTATAAGTAAAAGGGATCTCAATGGGGAAATTAACCTGCTTTTGTGTTTAAAGATTGAAAAGTGAGGCCTCAGAGGCAGGGTTGGGCTTACCCAAAGAACATTGAGCAAGTTATGGGCAAAACTGGACCTAGGATGCACTTTTGAACCCAGGGCCAGAATCACACAGTGTTGAAGTTCTTTCCTGGTTCTAATCTTCCAATAATCTAAAAACAAATCCACTTCTTGCAGTGCAGTTAGCCCCAAGCAGCACTGCAAGAGGACCAAGAGTCATGGCACACCAGCATCTCTCCAGGCCAAGTATCAGGCAGCCCTCCACACGCATTGACTTGTCGTATTTTCCCAGCAGCCTCCAGTACAGCCCTGTTTATGGATGAGGATACTGAGACTCAGGGGGGTACATAATGGATGAAATGCAGACTCTACAACACTGAAGTTGCCATCTCAGATGAGATTTAGTCTAACTCCAAAATGCTATGATTCTAGGGTGCCTCTTGGAGAAAGAGGGTCCTGTTCCCTATATTATCTACACTTTCCTTTTCTCCTCCCCTCCTTAGAGCTTTCTGTGGCTCATGTGGCCTCATCTTCACATATCCCTTTTCCAAGCCTGCTTAGGGAAGGGTTGGAAATGTATTCTTACTACGGTGTTAATGATTGATGCACATTTCAAATGTCAATCCTTCCCCTTTCCCACCAGCTCTCCTCCACATTGATTTAACTAAGGTCTTTTTCCACTGAACGTGGGCCAAAAGGAACCAGTGAAAAGTTTCCTCCTAATGGGCCTATGTGCATTCAATTCATGTGAGTGGTTGTTTCATTTGTATCATAGGTTGTAAAATACAATATAAACTGGGCCAATTATTATCACTCTTCTGGCAGCTATGTGAGGCGGGCCAGGCAGGATCAGAATCCCATTTGACAAACAAAACAATTGAAATCCTGGGAGGTGAATTTAGCACCTTATTTGTCAAATATTTAATTGAGTTAATAAAACCCTGGGTGTTCCTTCCCATTCTGGTGCTGTTTTCCTGCAATGTTGGGGCAATTGAGAACTCGTTTGCTTCTCAATTTTAGGTTACTGGAAGAAAGATGGGATTAGACTAGACCATGTTCAAAATGTTCATAAATGGTTTCTGGCTCATTTCTGACTTTCACGAAACAGAAATTCCATCAATTATATCAAAGGCCCCAAGCAACCCTCAAACAAGTGTTGGAATCCATTGCCCATGGACTGACAATGAACCTGCCTTTTAGCCCACAGAAGCCACTTGCATCTGATCATCCTGATTAATGCCAGAAACTAGGCTGGAGACAGCAGTGTCATTCAAAGAAAACTTCTCTCCTTTTTTTCTCCTTACACAGAGCTATGGAATTTATAGCTGATGGAACACTTACAGAATATCTAAGCAGATACGCTTTGTGTGGATGAGGAAACAAAGGCACAGAAAGGCTAAGCCATTTCCCAAATGTGATATGCGAATTATGTCTAAGCTATAGGAAAAATCAGTGTGTAGATGACAAAGGGAGATGACCACATTGAAAGCAGATGAACCGGCCTTGCTAACAGATACTCCTCAGTGAAATGAATAATTTCATGAAGGGAAAGGTCTTTTAACACAATGACTGAAAACTGTGTGTCAGGTTTGCTGTAGAGGAGGCTCACACATCTGGGCTGGGACACTGTGGTCCATGTGTGCTTGTGCTGGGGAAGAGGGCAAAATTGAAATAGATGATCTTGTCCGCCTTTATCTTCTTATTTGAATAGTGCCTTATTATTAGCAAGGCACATTAGTACAACTTCACTCTACGCTAAAGCAGATATTAAAGTTTCCATATTATATATAAAGAAACAAAGGCATAGAGAACTTAAATAACTTTTCCATGTTATATACTGATCTTTGGTGACATTTGGACGGGAACTTTTGTTGCCTCACTCTCAGTCCTGTTCTCTGTCCTCTATGGGCCTGCCTTCTCACCTGTTATATTTCGTTTGATTCTTGGAAATTATTTCGGTCTTACACAGACACCATTGTCTATATTCAGCTGCACTTTTTGTTCACAGCGTCTGTTATATCTGTTGTGTGTGACCTTTGGGGTCAGACTCATTGGTTCACAATTCTAAATGTTTTGTGTCATTGTGCAAGTGACTTGACGTCTCTGGGTCACTGTTTTCTCATCTCTAAAATGTGGAAGACCAAAGGAGGTATATAAAGTATGAGGAATAGTGCCAGACCCCCAAGTGGGCTCTCATGAAATGTTAATTCATTTATATACTTCATTGCTTATCTTCATGGCCTCTTTCCAAGCTGTGTTCAGGAAGCCCCTGTAAAACATGGCCCTAGTTTGAGGGCTACAATATAGGATGGGAGAAGGAAGAGTTAGAGAATGTAGTGAACAGATATTTGGGACTTTACTGGACATTAGTGTGGCATCGAGAAATAGAGAGTGAACTAGGATTGTTGCTTATAACTTGCTCATTCATTTATTTATCAATCCATATTGCTGACCACCCAGTACCATATCTGTCTTAGGTACTAGACCAGATGTAAAGAAAAGTTAAGTCATGGCTTAGTTCCTCAAAACTTGCCTGGCTTTGTGGTGATTGGCCTTGGGTAAGTTACTTCTATTTTTGAGGACTCAGTTTCTTCATCTATACATTATAAATAACAGCTTTCTTGGCTAACTGCTAGTTTACTTGCTTTTAACTTTTGACGACTGAACCTTGTACCAGATGTCAGGTCTGAATGTCACTCCTAGAGACAAAGGAAGGCATTGTCTAGAGGAGGAGATGGCATTGTCACCCACACTCAGTTGTGATTTTCTCAGGCAGAGTCACTGGAGCTGGCTCTCCTCTGCCTGCAGATGTACCCAACTTTGATCTGAAAAGAACTTTTCTACATGCTGCATTCTTTTAACTAAAATTCCTAAAAATCTTATGCATTATTCAAGTTCCAACCTAAGCTGCTCATCTCTCCAAGGAGTAGCCAAAAACTTTCTTAAATCATGAAAAATCAGGTCATGTTAAGTCCTTATTCAAAATTCTCCAAAAACAACAATTTTTGAACAAAGTCCAAAATGGTATCTTAGTTTGGGATATTCCCAAAGTCGACTCTGAAAGAAGGGCTTGAATTCAAATAGCATATTGGGATGAAAATGATACAGGGAAGAAAGAAAGCTGAGAAAGAGTATCCTGATGAATAGGTTATCATTGTATGGAACTGGGACTTCACCAGTCTCTGAGGAACCTCATAGAACAGCTAAGAATTGTTCCATCAAGGGATGGTGAATCTGGGCACTTATCCATCATGTCCTTTCTTCATTGTGGAGGGTTGACCTGGGGCATATTAAACTTCTGCAACATGAAGCCTGCCCTGACTCTGGATTGAACACCTCTCCATGGTGTGGGAGAAAACTGCCAGGCAGCCAAGGGGAGAGAAGGCAGGCTTTTAGGGTGTGACTCTATCAGCATGGATGATGAGTCCCCCTATAGCTGCAGGTGAACATAGAGTTGGGACAAATGTTTATGAGCCTGGATACCCACAGTGTCCTCACAGCCTCCAAGGACCTCCACTCAGACCTCCACTCCATCTATCCCCTACTCTGCTCTGGCAACCGGATCATTATTATAAATGCCAAACAACTTTCTATATTTAGATCTGTATTCATATTCTGTAGGCTACCATAACAAAATACCACAAACTACATGGCTTCAACAACAGAAATTTATCCTTTCCCAGTTCTGGAGGCCAGAAGAGACAGATCAAGATGTCAGCAAGGTTGGTTTCCTCTGAGGCCCCTCTCATTGGTATGCAGCTATGTCTCCTCACCATGTGTCTTCATATGTTCTTCCCTCTGTGTGTGACTGAGTCCTAATTTCCTCTTCTTACAAGGACACTGGTCATATTGGATTAGGGCCTGCCTTATTGACCCCATTTAACTGAAGCAGCTCTTTAAAGACCCTATTTCATAATACAGCCACATTCTAAGGTACTGGGGTTTTGCACTTCAATATATAACATTTTTGGGAAAAAAAAAAAACCTCAGCCCAAAATAGGGCCTTTGTGATTTCTGATCCTTTTGCCTGGAACTTTTATTCTTCAGATATTTACATACTTTGCCTTTCATTTTATTCTGACCTCTGCTCAAATATTCCTCTTGGGTGGGAATTGGCTGATTATCGTTGTTAAATTAGCAACTCTGCTCTCTTTTTTCTCCTCCTTTCCTCTCTTTCTCTTGCTTCATTTTTCTTGATTTTTAAAACATCATTAACCTCATAGATATGCGCATGCATACACACACACGTTAATTGTTTTGTTTTCTATCTCCCTCACTCTAAGTTAAGCTCCCAAGGGTGAGGACATTTTACATCTTGTTCACTGAAATATCCTATGGGCTTCCAGCATTGCTTGGTCCATGCACCAGGAAGACAACATTTGCTTTGTAATAACTCACTGACTGAATGAGCATATGACTGAACAAAGTGTACTGTTCCCTGCAGGATTGTCCTCAACTTTCCTTCTCTGCATTTTCCATTGCACTTAATGTTCTGGAATTGACTAGTTTATAGTCAGTATCTTGCACAAATCTCACAGAGGTCTAGAACGTCTGGTTTATGCTTCAGAACCTTAGGAACCAGTGGCTTGCTAGGCCCTCAGCAGACATCCAGGAAATGTGTGTGCATATAATTGTTAATATTCTAACAATATTGCTTGTTACATCATGCTGTTATTTTCATAAGAGCTCACATGAGAAATCTCTTTCAGAATTTAGCAGCAGAATTAAAAATGTAATTTTGTCCCATGAGGAATGTGTCCATTTCTTTTTTTCCTATAAGGAAAATCATGTTAGATTTTCTTTTGTGTCCTGACTGCAAGGAATTGCAGTTACGTTATTAACACTTATGATTCAATTGTCTCCCTTCTCCATCTTTCCATGGTCTGAAGTTTACTTTTCTATGTTTAGAATATATTTAGTACTTTCTCCATTTTATGTCACCCTCAATATATTTGAAAAAGAGATAATAATAAGTAAAATGAATAAATTAAAAATGAGACTCTATCTGGACAGCAGATGTGGAATAGCAATGGCAATAAAAATGAAGGGAGGTGAGTGAAAAGGATCTGGAGGATTTTGGGGAAGTCAAGGGGCAGGCCTGCGCGGTCACCATGTGCTATGGCATTCAGGGTAGGGAGGGGACCCTAGGGGGCTTGCAGGGAATTACAGGTGAGCTATGGAGAGGGACAGGTGGACACGAGGGAGATTTCTGTTCATCAAACTACTTAGAATTTATACTGTAAAGCACAGTTGGAAATCAAATGCAAATTGAAGTCAACTATCCTGCTCAGAAATCAGGACCTTTTGAAACACAGGATTGTGTTGCAGGCTTCCCAGGGTTCTGCCGTTGATTTTATTGCTTAATTTTGCATCTTTTCTCCTTAGAGTCATAGAATTTTACTGTCAGAGGGAAGTCTATCCCAGAGATTCTGTACCTGAATTCCAGGGGTAGATATGGGATTGATAGATGAGCTTCAGGAAATCTGTTTCTCAATGATATTAGATGCATTTTTCCTGAGTCTATGGTTTTTTCTTCAGAATCTCAAAACGGCATGTGATATAGAACCTTTCCCCACTTCCTCCAATAAAAAACTGAATAGAGTACATCTTATTTAGAAGTGAGGAAGATGAAGCTCCACCCCAAAAAGTGACTTTCCCAAAGGCACACTCCAAGTTGACGTCACAGCTGCGATCTACAGCCAGACTGATTTCCTGGTTCTAAGACTGCAGTTGTTGCTATTAAAGTGTGAGGCTGTGTGTAGGTTAGAGAGTTAGTACCCTCTCTGGTGAGGAGATTTTTCCATACTATGTGCACGCAGACACCTAAGGTGTTTAGTCCCTCTTTTTAGACTCTAGGCAGCCCAGAAGACCTCTGTTATTCAGAATCTTTTATGGAGATACCTTTGCTGCAGGTATTTCAGGACTTTGCTTTTTTTTTTTTTTTTTTTTTAAGACAAGCAACCCTCATTTGCACATGGAGTTTATGAAGCAAAATTCATTCTCTACTCTCAAAGCCCTTATTTACTGTATAAGGAAGTAGACTTCCCAAGGAGGCCATGGAAAGCCAGAATCTCAGTGCCCAGAACAACTGAGTTGCACTGGCTTCAAGAAGTAGGCCCCATGCTTTTACAGTAATAATTTGGATGCATCAACTAGAGGCATATTTTAACAGTATATTTCTATCTAAAAGAGAGACTTTCCTTCTTTTTCACGAGAAGCTGGAGAGCCAGAACTCTGTCTGCACTTTGTTGGCCAATTTCTATTGTGTTTCTCAGGTGAGGCTATGCTTAGGATCAGGAAATAAGAATGACATCTAGGCAAAAAGTATGCTGAGACATGGGGCTTCTCTAGAACTCATAGCAAGCATCATTGGAGGCAAAATGCAAGCAGAAAGAGCCATATGTCAAATGTGACAAAATAAGCAATGGGGAAAGGATTCCCTATTCAATAAACGGTGCTGGGGTAACTTTCTAGCTATTTGCAGAAAATTGAAACTGGACCCCGTGCTTACACCATATAAAAAATTAACTCAAGATCAATTAAAGACTTAAATGTAAAACACAAAAATATAAAAACCCTGGAAGACAACCTAGGCAGTACCATTTAGGACATAGGCATGGCAAAGGATTTCATGGGAAAGATGCCAAAAGCAATTACAACAAAAGGAAAAATTGACAAATGGGATCTAATTAAAGAGCTTCTGCACAGCAAAGGAAACTGTCAACAGAGTAAAGAGGCAACCCACAGGAAAGGAGAAGATTTTTGCTAATAAACATCTGATAAAGGTCTAATATCCAGCATCTATAAGGAACTTAAACAAATTTACAAGAAAAATACACACAACCCCATTAAAAAGTGGGCAAGGATGGAATCAACCTAAGTGTCTATCAATGATAGACTGGATAAAGAAAACGTGGTATGTATACAGCATGAAATACTATGCGGTCACATAATAGAACAAGAGAATGAGATTATGTCTTTTGCAGGGACATGGATGGAGCTGGAGGCCATTTTTCTTAGCAAACCAACACAGAAACAGAAAACCAAACACCACATGTTTTTAGTTATAAGTGGGAGCTGAATGATGACAGCACATAGACACAGAGGAGAAAAACACACACTGGGGCTTCTTGGAGGGTGAGGGGTGGGAGGAGGGAGAGGATCAGGAAGAATGGCTGGTGGATGCTAGGCTTAATGCCTGGGTAATGAAGTAGTCTGTGTAGCAAGCCCCTTGGATACATGTTTACCTATGTAACAAACCCACACATCCTGTACATGTACACTTGAAGTTAAAAAAAAGACTCAGTATCGGGCCGGCGCGGTGGCTCAAGCCTGTAATCCCAGCACTTTGGGAGGCCGAGACGGGCGGATCATGAGGTCAGGAGATCGAGACCATCCTGGCTAACACGGTGAAACCCCGTCTCTACTAAAAAATACAAAAAACTAGCCAGTCGAGGTGGCGGGCGCCTGTAGTCCCAGCTACTCGGGAGGCTGAGGCAGGAGAATGGCATAAACCCGGGAGGCGGAGCTTGCAGTGAGCTGAGATCCGGCCACTGCACTCCAGCCTGGGCGACAGAGCGAGACTCCGTCTCAAAAAAAAAAAAAAAAAAAAAAAAAAAAAGACTCAGTATCCTCCTTCATCGTAATTCCACAGCTGGAAAAACCCAGAGACATTATTTGGGGTTAATTTACATACTTGCCTTGGGGAATGATGAACTACCTTGAGTTGTTCTTAAGATTTTATTTGCATTTGTGCCCCTGAGCCAATGGATTTGAAAAATGAACAAGAATTTGGGGTTATTGCCCAGTTTCTTGCATTATCTCGGTTTGAGCTCTATTAGGAGGGTGTGATGGTTTCTAACCTAAAATCTTTTCTGTTTATGGGCTGGGGACTTGGAGGTGAAGGCTTAGGGAGCATGAGCTTATTTCAGCTTGGGTGAGGTTCCATTTTTCTTTATGGAACACTGCTAAGAACTAGGACTTTAACAGCGACTTATCTAGCTTCTATTCTGCAGAAGCTCATAGTCATGAGGAAACTGACCACACAGTAGGGAAATATGTTGCAATGTAGTGATTGCAATTGTAGAGACCTGAATAGTGGCTAGAGAAGCAGTAGCAGGAAATAGGCTGCTAGAGAGGGGACATAACCCAGGAACCAGAAAAGACTTCTTTCAGAAACAATGTCAAACAATATAAAGGACAATAAGAAGACAGGCAAAAGTATCACAGGCTAGGGCTGGGGGCAAGGTAAGCACAGATATGGAGGTGAGGAACCACAACGTGGGAGCAATGACTGTGAGAAGCTCCATGCTACAGTAGGGCAGAAGTGTGAGGTAGAGGATGAAGGAGTTGAGGTCTTGGTGAGGAGATAATACTCCTCACCTCCTCCAGTAACATGATGAACTGATCACTATTAAGCTTGGGAATAACATGGAGAGATTCTGGTTTCAAACAAATCATTCCCATGGCCTGAGAGGAGGATGGATTCGAAGGGAAGACATCACAAAGAGAGAGATCAGTTAAGAAGTCACTGGGAGCTGAAGATCCTAACAAGAGCAGAGGTCACAGTGATGAGGAAGAAAGGAACAGTTGTCATACTTTATTGTAATAGTATCAGTTCATCTCAAGATGAGAGATAAGGAAGAATTAGAGGACCGGACCTCTGCTCCAAGGTAT